GGCCGAACAGTACCTTTTTCATTTATGAGTAAACAAAAAGACTTTTTGTTTACTTTTTTTTACGAAGAAACGAAATAGTACATTACATGCCCGAGCCTTGGAAAACAGATCACCGTTCCCCACGTGCAAGATTGCCTTCCGAGCCGAAGGCGAGGATAGCAAGCCCGTGGGGGAGGATGATATGTTTCCCATGACGAGGTGTGTATATTAATTTTCAGGTTCCGGGACACGAAAAGGCACTTTTTGGCACGAGGTGAACGTAACAGCAGTGTCAAAATAGTATATTTCGTAACGAGTGCAAAAAAGTGTTTTTTGGCGAGTGGGAGGTTATATATAATCCCACGAGCTAAAAAACATTTTTTCACGAGTTACGAACTAGTATATTTCGTTACGAGTGCGGAAATGTGTTTTTTGGCTCGTGGGAGGTTTATAGCACGAGCCGAAGGCGAGTATATAAGCGAGTGCATATTTCCATATGCGTTTTTTATGTGTAAAAACCGAGACTTTACATTGAAGAACCACGAGAAACTTGAGGCCGAGATGAGATTAATTGATTGTGAGTCATCACGAGAAGAGCCGATACTGTCTCTTTTGAGACTGTGACGAGATGAAAACTTTCCGTGTTCACCAAGACCGAGACGATTCCTTCCACGTGAAGTCTCGTTTGAGGCTCGTGGGCAGCCCTAAGAATTAAAGGAAAAACGATAAAAATTCTATGCCTAATATAAAAATCATAATCATAATCGTCAGTGTGAACATTTTGTAATAAATAATTCATATTTCTGGGTGCCCCAAAATGGGGTGTCATGTGGAAGTGGCAGTGTTGCGTTGGTTGAATGCATGGNCAAGTCTGGCGCGGTCCCGGTTGAGGAACGGGTCCCGAAGTTCGGCAGGCCGGCCACCGGGCTTGGGCCAAGCTCGGCCCATTCGTTTTTTCGTACGTGGGATGCCATGGAAAGGGAAATATTTTCGAATGTACAGGGTTGTCACTGATCCAAACACCCTAGTCAAAGGAGAGACAATTGTCGAAAAAACTACTGAAAAAATAATTCGATAGATTAATTTCTTACACACATAAAAGATATAATTCATATAAAAATTATCAATCGTGAATAATGTTTTTTGGGCACTTTGAATTTACTTTTTCCCGTTACACTTAACGACTCGATTGGAGTCTATTCAAACTACCTTAAGGATATCTTAAAGGTATCTTTTACAGTTTGGTACAGAATACACTATAGATTCACCGATTTCCAATCACCAAATTTGTCAATTATATTGCGTGACAAAAATTTGAAAAAAATCATGCATATTCAGCATTATTCAAATTACATTTTACATAGAACTATTATTTTTTGTTTCGTTGGTTATTTGTAAATAAATACTTGAAATTGTTTAAACATTCGGAAACCTTAGTTTTCGGCATCAAATCAATTTTTGGTAAAATTCTGAATATGAACAAATTTGTTACGATTCTGAAGAAATGATTTTCATGATGAAAAATTGATTGTTTATAAAGTATTTATAGAAAGTGCTCGTAATTTTCAAAAAATGCAATTTTTTAATGATTTCATCAATCTTTTAAACTGTTTTCTAACGGTTTAATATCGAAATTTAAATGCAGACCTGCAAGGTTTAAATAATAACATCGTTATAAAATGTCCGGAAACATAGGTTCAAATGGGTCTTAAATGACCGTTTTGATGTTCGACTACAAAAGTAGAAAAGCATTTCACTGGAGGAAAAATAGCCAAAGTACTTGGATATCCTTAATGCGGTTATCCTTTCGCANTGGCATGCCGGAGCTCGATAACCAAGCCTCAGCCAGCGGTGGCCCGGAGTTTGANACTACAAAAGTAGAAAAGCATTTCACTGGAGGAAAAATAGCCAAAGTACTTGGATATCCTTAATGCGGTTATCCTTTCGCAAGCAAGTCGTCAAAAAAAATCTCCGAAATACGCAAGACATGAAGTGAAGAAACGGGGAAGGAAAATTTTAGGTTAATCACCCAGTGTAAGAAGGAGGGATGAAATGGAATATAGAGCAATAAAGTGTCGAGACTTGGATGAAGTCACTAGGGTCGCCCGGCCTCAGATATTTATAGATGTTTTTATGAGTTCGGATACAATAATTTATCCCTCGTATGTATTCTCGCGGGTCTCCACAGTTTTATTCCCTGACTCACTCCTCCGTAAGTGCCATACTCATTTGAATGGGGGCAAAAGGGTGGTTGCGTCCTCCTCCTTCTTGTCATAATTCTTCCCATAAAAGAAAATAAAAAATAGAAGGAAAAATAAAGTGCAAAATCCAAGTCACGTCCACACACGCACTCGTACCTCTGTTCTGCATTTTGTTTCCATTCTCATACTTCTTTTTCGTTTTCATTGTCGCACGTAAGTCACAGTGGGGGTGTAAACAATACGTGCCACCTACATTGTAGATTGCAATGGTCGCTGGGAGGCTCTCTGGCGCTTGTGAAACTTTTTACCCGAGATAAGACCTGAAACAACCACCCCAGTCTTTTATTCCATCTGTTGCAAAATGGAGTATACAATGGTCGACACAATATTTTCTACCACCTTCACGACAATGGGAATGCTAGAACTCGATGGTGGTGATTCTCCACGATTTTTCTCATGGGTGTCCAGTTCATACTCGCTTGGAGACGGTAATATTAATAAATATCGTGAAAACGACATTGCGAGATTTTAATATTAGATATTAGAACCAGAACTGCTGAATGTGAGTTTGTAAAATTCTGGTGGTTTCTCGGGGGTTTAAATGGGCTTGGGGGGTGTCTATGCATGCAGGAAAATTTCTATGGTACTGTTAAGGGGAAATATTACGCTGACTAGATTACATTTTCCCTTCATCTCGTCCTAAAAATTTTATTTCGTTCGATTTTTATGGGATTCTTGATGAACTAGGCGGGACTTGAGGATGAGATCAGTATATGTCGTCATTTTTTAAGTTTCAATTCTCCTGATTTTCACGTTCTATAACAACAAATTTCCTTTGAAATGGTATACAAATGGTGTCATTCACTTTACCAATAGTTATAGAAAAATCCAACCCAAACTGAATTTACAATAAACGTAATGAAATTCCATTCTTGGATAAAAACTTTCATATCCTATTTTACTAAAGATGAAAGAAACGTGAAGTTGTTTTATATCGAAATATCTCGAAACTGCCTGACCGCTAATCCTTAATTCTGATTGGTCAATATGTGACACGAAGTTATTCACAAAAAAACACGCGGCATTTTCAAATTCTTCAGTGACATAATTTCAAATTCTTCAGTGGTAATTTTTTTTTCACGTCATATATATATAATATATATATTTCACATGTATACATATCATCGGTGAAATTAATAAATTCTGTCCTTTTATGGAGACCGATTATTTAAAAAAATTGAAGATAATTAATTGAAAATGAAAAATTCTTTATAGATTCTTTTACTCTACTTCGCTATTCACTTCAATCATTAGTCGAATTCTCTTTGATTCATTATCAATATTTATAAGGTATTCATGAGAAAATGACACTCAATGAATTCCATTTCTTCATTTCAACAAATGAATAGATCGGCGCGCGCATATATCTTGTGTTAATGAAAATTAGCCTTAATCAAGTAATTCAGGGATCAGTTTCAAGGTAATTTAATATATTCTCATCTGGGCATAAGACCTCTCCACAGATTTGAACAACAACTGAGCAAATCTCGTCAATCTCGAGACAAGAAAACACATGGAAAGTGTCAAAATGTGACATGTTAAAATCATATTCAACATATTCTTTATTTAAGACTTAAGGTCCATCGATACCTGTGAAACTCCTACATAACGATATATTGTGTAATACGTATCAAACCAAAATAGCTCATAGTACAATAGAATACAATAAATGGAAAAATATACAAAAAAATATACATCCGAAAATCTACACTAACAAATGTAACATCTTCATAAAGCTGCTGAGAAAAGCACAGGTATTATCGTTATCATTTTCATTATTAGCCTACATCCAAACAATTGCAATCAACAAATCAATCATGAAAAAAAATTCTCATACAAATAATCATGTTAATGAAAACAAATCTATTAGTTGATCAAATCGATCCATCACACAAATATATCAAAAATCGAAACTTATCACTGATCATGCATACACTCATATCTATCGACACGAAATCATTGGATGAAAAATGAAAACAATTGGTAGCATCGAAACGCAAACATTTGCATCGTTCAGACAATTCAATTAAGGATGCAATAATATATCATAATGTAAAGTAGAACTTTGAAAATCGCTGCATTATCGTGAGACCTTGAAATAGACATGTGATAGGTCCCCACTGGTCAAGTCTCAAGCCTCAATAAGTGGCAAAAACAGTCGTTTCCGAGGTGTGAAATAACGTAAAAAATGGAAACAATCTCCAATAATATACTGAAAATGAAATTAAATCAGATTTATCATATTGAAGATTTATAGATTTAGCATTTTGAAGAATAATAAATGCTCTTCAAAACGATATGTAGATATCCCTGCCTAGTCCACTTAGGAGCATCGAAAAATTCAACCAAATTCATTTTCCAAGTGAAACATGAAATTCAATTTTCGCCTAAAACTCCCATAAGTTAATGAAAAATTGGCGTAATTGGGCAAATCAGATGTTATTTTGAAGCTGATTTTATAATCTTCCAATTGACTACATTAAATGGACGGTTCATGAAGAAGGAAGAAGGACTTGGGCATAGAAACAAAAAGAAAAACCTTGGTTACAGGTTACGGACACGGATTTTTCTATAGGGAAAAAAAAGTTGACTAAGAATTTAGATTTATCTGGGACTATTTACGCAACGACTAATGGAAGACAGGAAAAGGTGGAGATATGATTACGAACGCCGGAAGCTCCATGAGGCTGCTAATTTGTGGGATCGGATGGGGGACGACAGTTTCAGTGTTTCAGTTTCATTTTTTGAGCTAATGGTGTTCAGCTATGAGTATGGAGAATTTTTTGAAAATACTGATTTTCGTTGGGTGGGTTAGTTTCTCGATTAGTGCAGAGAAATGCATGGTTTCTGTATCTTATTTGCCTGCTGGAGTCGAGTTCACGTGTGTTGGAATATCAACCTTGCATCAGAAGTTTGACAAGGCTTATAAAAATACGACGGCTATTACAATACAAGATTCAAACTTGATGGTTATTCCAGAGTGAGTAATTCGAGGGTTATTTAGTGAAGGTGCACCCAGAAAAATGTTTTTCTTAATCAAATAAAAATATTTATTTGAAATTTTTTAATCATTTCAAGAATATTTTTGTTATAAGTGAATAAACTTGTTTACTTGTTTTAAGAGAAAAAAATTAATTATATTAAATGAATAATTTATTCATTTCAAATGAACAATTTTCTTATTTAAACAATTCGTAGTTTATTGTATTTTGTGAAGGAATTTTGAAAGTGTGTTTCAACAATATTAGTGGGCTATGTTGAAAAGGTCGTATGAACCTAATCTAGGAAACTTGAAATCTGGACGATTTGAGCTCTCTAGAATCATTCTAATCCAATTTTTCATTACACTTGTCACTCCAGTACACTGAAAAAAAGATTTCCAAACATATAGACAATATTTACTTGAGAGAAGGGTCTTATTTTCAATGGCTTAAATTTCAGAATATTTGCGCTTCACGGAACTCGAATAAATTCTTATTTATCACTATCGTTCCGCGTTATATCATCAATATATTACATATCGAAACATTGGAAGTGCATAAAATGAAAATCATGAAAACAATAAATACTTGAAGATTGACGATTCTTCTACGAGATTTGAGTGAGTTCATTTGCGACAAAATCATCCGTGAATACAAAAATATGTTGAAGCATGAGACCTTTCTCAGGCCACGTGAGTTAAGATGCCTGAGAGAATTAAGCGATTGATGAAAAATTACTTGTCTTAACTAAATGTGCTTTGGATATTGTAAAATTTTTTGCTCAGTGTATATATGACCTGCTTTCACCATCGTCTCCCTGATAGTGAAACCATGGAACAGAAATTTCTTCCCCGCCCCCCAAAAATTTCTTACGTGATGTATGCCCCCTAATAATTACTGCATGTTTTACGTTCAATCTTTTTCGAGTTTATTACCATCTCAAAGCGAAAATAAATTATTAGTACCAAATAAATATTCATTTAGTTGAAAGGAAGAAATGTTTATAATCTAAGAAAACTATTTATTTGGTGTGAATAAAGAATTTATTTGGATCAAATAAAGATTTATTAATAGTGAAAAACCATTTATTTAGTATAAACCAAACTTCGAATAAAATTTTTTATTTAATTTGAAAAAAAAAATTATTTGCTACTATATACACAATTATATTTGTTTGATTTAAATAAACTTTATTTGATTCAAATAAATCATTTTTCTGGGTGTACACAGGGTGTACACAGGGAGCTCACAATATCCAGCTTTCAGAACAAAGTTACTGATTTTAAGATAACATGGTTCTAGAAAGCATTGTACTGAGAATAAAAAACTGATTACATCATTTTGGGAAAAAAATTCCTAAAATTTAGTGTCAAGAATATATTTATATCATGTGAGAAAAATCTCTCATATGTGACGGAATGATTTATGCGGTGAAGATGAAGTACTGTTAAAATTCCAATTTTTCTGCAGCAATCAATTTTCAACATTTGGAACGACCCTCAAATCACTAGACATTCACGAGTCGCGGATTCGTACCATCGAGACTAATGCATTTTGGGGTCTCGTTTATTTGGAGAAGTTAAGCCTCTGGGGAAACAACTTGACGTGGGTACCAGCTGATTGGTTCACTCATCTAACGAATTTGAGGACTCTGGATATATCATTTAATAGCCTTTACGCAATTGATTACAACATTTACTACAAGCTACCAAATCTGAATACTCTCAATATCGCTAATAACAAACTCAAGATAATTGACTACAACTTGATTCCGGCTATGACACAGTTGAGAAAGTTTAAGTTTGGAAATAATCCGTTGGATTGGTCGTAAGTATGATAAAGTCCAAATTTTATGAAGACCTTAATTATTTCACTTGAATGAATTACTGGCACAATGATTGATAATTAATAAGAGTTTTTTTCACTCGTATACCCTTTCGGGTTTTTACGATTTGTTCCCTTTCCACCCCTCAATCCCCTGTACCGCATTCGCCGAAGGACAAGGAAAAACTTCATTTGAGGGAAAAACCGGCCCAGGTAAAGTCGTCTTTTACAGGACTCCCGCTCGACAATGAAACTGTGAGATTTAGAGTGTCACAAATTTTGCCCCCCCCCCCCAGCCAGGAATCGAACCCGGGTCACCCGCATGCCAATCCCATACTCTAACCACACGGGCACCTCCGTCGGTATAATAATTGATAAGATTATTGCACTGTAAAAATTAGTGTCTGGAAAATGTCATCTTAATACTTTAACACGTCAGGCATGAAAATACAGGGTGTTTTTGAACTACTAATAATCCTCGCGTCCAGTGATGGATTTGAGTCCCCTGAATAATAGAAAACTGAGAAAAAAATTATAATTCAATAGTTTTCATGTCGCTAATGTTTAATAACGACTAATTGGGAGCGTGTATTTTGCCGCGACAGAGCGGTTAGAGAGGGGAGTAGGGGAGGGTGTGCCTGTACCGCCCACCTAAGAGGAAATGCCAGTTTTATATTTTATATTTCAACTTGAGTATAAAAAACGTATTTGTGAGACTTCTTTAACTATTGAATTCGTTATTCTCGAAGTGTAGACGCCTAATTCTCTTTAGAATCCACAAAATTGATTGAAAATAAAAGAGAGAGCCTATTGAGCGGTGCTACCCGCCGTCGGGTAATACCGCTCGGCACGATTCCAATGCCGCTCATAGGGTTTTGCGTGTATCGCTCGCCCCGCAATCTAACCTGTACTCGAGGGCTGTCGAGCAACTACGTGGCCGATCCTATGAGCGGTATTACCGGCTCCGCTCGGCGTCAACAAAATTATTGATAATTATTGACATGAGTGGAGTTTTGAGTTCGAATTGGTCTTAAATTACGCACGAAAGTACCACGAATCGAATAACCATAGTTTAATATGAGAATTCAGCGTTTGAAACTATCAAAAACCTTAATTAAAAGTCCACAAATTTTGCACTGTAAAGACCTCAAAACTTCGTTACGTGTTTTTTCATATTTAAAGTGGTAAATAAAGTGAAATTTTTCCGACAATCACATCCTATCATCAAATTCTTCATGATCAGGAACAGGAAGAAATTTTCAAGTTGATGGTTGTGGAGAAAATCGGGTGAGCGGTATTACCCGCTGAGCGGTACAGGCACAGGCTGAGGGTACGCCCTCCCCTAGAGGAGGTGACAACAGTGCATCGGGTTATGAAGAGAGGCTAGTGACGTAAAGGATGTTTAGCCAAAACCCACATTATTCACCGTATTTTGATATTGTCTCCTATGTCAGGTTCATATTTAAGCTATACGTTACTAATAATCTTAATCCTTCCATCGGCGCATCTTAGTGAGAAATTCATTTCTGAAAATCAGTTCTTGTAACATTACGCCGAGGGAAGAAACCTGGCTGTGTGAACTTTGATCGAGATGTTGCATGCGTTAGACACTCAAGATATTGAAAAAAACCATAAGCCATTTACTTCAGACTATGGAGAATCTATCACCGGCAAGAACAAGTAGGGGACCGGGCCATATAGGCGTGATATCTTCGATAGATTTTTGAATTCCTCAAAAAAAATTTGACCGCCGTTACGAGTCGAGCACCGCGACAACACCACACAAGGGCTGATCGAGATCGGTAAAGTCGGTGACGATAATTCAGTGCTGAAAACATATGGACAGGTATAACACACACAAACTCACTGTTACAAACCCATTACTAGCCGAAGCGTGCTATATTGCCCGATCAAAATTTGACTGTTACCACTGGAGTCACAAAGTCCATTATTTATGAACATTTTCTTTAATTATTGTTTCTGAGACCTGAAAAGTACGCCATTATACTTATAATTTAATGAGAACAATAATTTGTAACAGGAATGATTTATTTAGTCAATTTTATTTTCATTTTCAACTGATTTGTCCACTTGATAGGTTAAACATCCTTAACTTCATTCATGCATCACCAAAGTTTCATTCTGGCTATTAATTCAAGTATTAAGTATTAATAGGGCATTGAATTCTACATCCAATCCGTTACATAAAGGAATATTTATATGGCTGTTGATTTCAATACTTGATTCGATATCAAAATAATACTTCACGTCGCACATGAATACACGCAAGAATTGATACCGTATTCATTGCTGTGTATTGATTCACGTATTAAAATGAGTGCTGATTAAAATATCGATTTATCTAACGCATTACATAGATATTCGCATACATTGAATTCGTTTTTCATTTTTGGAGATTCAAAAAATCGTATCACTCAATCACAACTTATCCTCTATCGTCTAGTGACATGCCAATACCGTATCTACCTTCACGTGACTATTCTGTTTTCATAACCCGATGCGCTGTTGTCACCTCTTCTACTCCCCTTTCTACCCACTCTGTCGCGGCAAAATACCCGCTCCCAATTGGACGTTATTAGACATTAATAATTTAAAAACTATTGGAATAATTTGAAAGATATCCGATCGAAATTCGCGTGTTTAATTTTCGTGGTTGTAGGGTTCTAAATATCAAATGCAAATTTGGACCCGATGCGACAATCGAAAAGCACATTGGAATCTTTCAAGATAAAAAATAGGTTGTTGAGGTTATTAAATTTTTTTTGCCATATTTGATGATTCTATATACCCCAATAGATATTTTTTGAGTGACTGCACATGTGGGGAAAGCCTCGCTGAGGTCAGTTTTTAATTTCACGACTTTAGAAATTCAGTAGTGTAGTCCTCAAAAAAAGAACAAAACTATTTTAACTCGAAACAATATTCTTTCTAGTGGGATATCCAATGTAGATAACTTGAAGTTCCATTTGTAGGTATCGAGTACTATTGACATGGCAACTGGATAATCAGAGGGTGGACTATCGTGACAACTGGGATAATTGGGATTGGATGAGCAGCGCCATTCAAGAATGTCAGAATAGTGGGTATGCGACAGTACCAGATGTGAAGCTACTATACTGTGGGTTCGGAAAATTGGTCGAGTTTCTCAGCAAAAATGTGTCCTCTCCCCTTCAGAGCTCATCAACATTGCTAAATCCGAGTCATCCTTCGGTTCAAGCTTTCTCAAGGTTGAACCAGTGCGTCAGATCAAAGGTGACTGGGGATGGATACTTGCTGTCGTTGAAATTATTGGAAACTTTATCACAAGAGTTACGACTGATTGGGAATCCATTAACCATGTTTCATCGTCTATAATCACGTTACATAATGAGTATACATCAGCAATATCGAACCGCACACCTTTTCTTTTCAATTTAGAATTTCTGAACATTCAAGTTTTGAAGTTGATGGGCATTAGAAGTTTATGAGGTTTACATTATAACTATTCCAAAAGTTTTTACAGTGATTAATATCTATTGAAGAATCCTCTCTAACGTCCGTTATTATTTTTCATCGCTTGTGCGTAAAGTGGAATTTGGTAACACTACAGAAGACCCCCACCTTAGATTCATGATTTTATATATTGATTCGATGCATTTTGACGCGTTATTATAACGGGGAAAATTATAGAAAAGGTCGCTCCCAAAAACTCAAATTAATATGGTTGATATGGAGTGTGAATATTTCGTTATCTGGGAACCAGGTCATACAATTTTAAGCTTCTACCTATATGAATCAGCTACCTTCCTAGGCAGGTGATCATATAGACGTACGGGATGGCTCCCAATATTCTGCCTTATTTTTTAAAGGTATAAATTCAATTTAGAATTCTCAGATAAAGGTATACATTTGGAAAAAAATTGATTGAATAGTGAGGTCATAATCAAACCTCATCAGCTCTTAGCGTAACCCAGAATTTACGACATGGACGTTACTGGTGTAGACTCCCAAAAAATTCGTGAGACTAAATCTGGAAATAACAAAGAATTTAAAAATTCAAAAATTGGTAGAATTATGAGTAGATACATATATTGTGTTACCGAAAATTACGAACGCTCCTAGTGCGGAAAATTCCACTAGGGGATATTCGGCCAAGGTGCCTCCTTGGACGAGAAGCACTTCCATTTGCTAGAAAACAGCTATTCTACAATTTATAATAAAAAGGAGATGGCCAGAATGTGTCACGCGTTTATTTTTCCAGAGCGTTTTCGCGTTGTCGCCATAATGTATTGTCAAATCATCAGAAGACATAATTCATGATGATGCGAACATGTTTGTTATCTATAATAAAAAGGAAATGACCAAAATGTCTCATGCATTCATATTTTCGAAGTTGTTTTGCTTTTTTGCATTGATGAATTATTAAAGTTTCAGGGCACATAACTCATGATGACGTAGACATGTTTTTTATTTACAAGAAAAAAGTGATGGTCAAAATGTGTCACTCGTCTATTTCTTCGGAATTTTATCGCGTTTTCACAATAATGAATTGTCAAAGCATTAGGACACCTAACTCATGCACGGAGAGAAATATTCAGTAAAAATTACGGAACAATTCACGTAATTCGCAATCGTTTTCCGGCAATTTTTATAGGAATGAATGAAAAGAAATTTGAAACATTCAGAGAATTTTCAGGTTCATCATCGAATAAAGCACGAATTTGTCACGTAATTTACCCCGAAGAAGTAAAATCTTACTGAAACTTGCCGACTTATTATGCCTACAAAATGAAAAATTCTTGAACGTTCAACAATTTTTATGAAACTGGTGAGTTATTTCTACGTTCCGTACCGTAAAATTTCTCAATCGTTGGGGAAAAATTACGGACCGACTTGTTGTCCCCACAGCGGTGAGTCATCAGACGCGTGGTTAATTTTTACGCAACAAATTGTAGAATTTACGTGGCGATTCGTACAATTTCAGTTCGGACTCACACCTTCTATTGGATTGAACTTCGCTCGCGAATTACGTTTCGCAACGTAATTTTTACGTTTTTTTTTCTAGTAATTTATATTGAATTTTTCTATCCGTGTGGCGATGCGGACGTGGTCGTTATTCTCTATTATGTATTCTCTATTATAAAAAGGTGTTGCCCAAAATGTGTCACGTGTTTATTTTCTTCTCTCTTCCCTCTAATAAAGAGAAAACCAATAAAAATAATAGTTATTGTTCAATGAAATTGTTCAATATTGTATTATGCAATCCAGGTGAAGCTTTCCTAAAGAAAATGAAATTCTAACTAGGAGGATTCCAAATATTCTTAGAACTTTAAAAGACACGCTTTATCGAGTCACATTCCTGTATAGAATCGAAATCTCTGAGTTACGAAAAAAGAAATCTATATGCGATGGACCTTTGCTACTTATTGGATCTAGTCCCCAAAGTATTGACAATTTCCAAGTTAAGCAAATGCGCATGAAGGGAATCGTTTTGCCACCCATGGAAGTAGAAGATGCTTGTGGACGAAAAAATCTCATCTCTGCAAAGTGCATTCGGCTTGGAACGAGCGTAGGAACTACTTCAGTCCTATATCCGAGTTGGTGGAAAAGATGGAGAAAAAGAAATTGCGAGAAAAGTAGTTCAGGGAGAAGAAACGAGTGAGAGTGAGCAGAGGGCCAAGCCTTGGACAGTTAGATTTTATGTTTACCGTCATGATCGAAACGGGAAAATCATGGTCATGTTAGTGCGATTGGACTTGCAATAGGCCAATCGGGTAGTGGAGGAATTCTTATTGGTTTATGAGGTTTGGGTGAAAGTGGGTTTACTTACCGTGAAGGTACCAGTATCCGACGGTCTAAAAAGAATCCTAGGGTAAAATTTGTGTTTTTCGTTATCCAAGTCAAAAATATTATATGTAATGGACAAAAAGTGATTCTGAAGATTTCAGAAACATTAAAAATTCAAAAAATAATGCATCTGTGAATAAATATTAACGTAAACAAGTCGATGTGTCCCATGACCCAGTATCCGACAGCCAAATGTTGCCTAATTCCAGTAGCTGACACCGTGGACGAGGTTAGGTTCATATTGATAAATAATGAACAGGACATAATAATTGTGAATTTATTATTCATTAGATAAATCTGATAAATGAATAAATCTAATAAATCTAATAAATAATTAAACACCGACGTCGGTGGCCGAGTGGATTAGACGCAAGTCTAGTGTGCGAAAGGTTGTGAGTTCGATTCCCCGTGGAACCGAATTTTTCAACGGAAGGCTCCGGCGAGCGGGAGATTGCTAATAGAGGAACCGCCTGTACCGGCATGGGTTTTCTGTGGTTTCCCCATGCTACTTCTATGTTCTATAGAAGTGCGAATGCGGTACAGTGTAGAATCCACAGCCACATGCATAGGGTTGGATAGAGTGCCGAATGGGACCCGAAAAAGGGACTCCGAGGCCGTAAAAAAAAATAATAAATGAATAAATAATTAAATATTCATTTACGATTTATTTTTCGCCATCATACACAAAACAGGGACTCTAACGTGTTTAACCCATGGCTTTGTGTAAATCTCGAATCGCCTCGGTGTGAAAGGAGTGGGGGAGCCATCCGGGTATTCGTGCGCCATAAGAGAAGCACATTGGCGCACGCACGCGACTACAAAACGGCGAAAAGTGGGGTACCGTGAGACGAAGCAAAGGGTTAGTTAAGAAACGCGACTGCAAGTGCCACGTAGAAGCGGACTGCTGGAAAAAAATTATTTTGATAGTTATTCTACACATAGAGTTTTCCTGACGACCTGGCACGGTGGGGAAAGTCGTTGCATCACGTATACAAGGTTCCGAGTTCAAATCCCGGTCGGGTAGAATGGTGAGATCTAACCATTTAAAGTCTTCATCGTCATTGCAATATACTCAACCGAGTCGAAGCGATGTAAAATAACAATAAAAAAAAAATTCTGCACATAGAAGTGAAAACTCGTTGTTTAATCCATAGAAACCAAGTTTCTCCAGCTATTGACTATTGTTAGATCGTGCTTTTTAGTAGGGCAATACAAAAAAAGCGAAATATCAAGGAAAGTAGCCTCGAACGTCGGATACTGGTACCCGAGTGGAAATTTTGGTCAAGTCTTGATCAGACACTGATCAAGTTACCATACCATGTTCTGATCAGGTATGTAACGCTATAAATTTTTCGATTTTCCACTAGGGTTTCACCGCCTACCATCATTAGGCATTAATTAAATTTAAATTTTTTGAGAGAAAAAATTAATAACACCCTTGCCGGGAATCGAACCCGGGACCTCCCAATGTCGCGTCGGCTACTCTTACTTTTTTTTTTTTGTTTAACCAAGTTTTTATTCAAAGACAATATATACAATATATACAAACCTTAAAAACTAGTATAAAAAAAAGTTCTATCAACGATATTTTATTTATTCTGTAAACTTAGGCCTGGAAGACTCTCGAGTTTATGACATATTTTGGAAAAAATCCTCAAGTAGAATTGTTAATATTTCTCAACGAGATTGAGCATTGTTTTATGCATTATATATCTAATTTCAAGTGCTTAAAAAAAAACATTTGATTGCTGATCGGCTGCTCTTACCATCTGAGCTACCAGGACACTTACGAATTTCACTCTCAAATTGAATCATGCCCGAGTGGAAATTTTGGTCAGGTCTTGATCAGTCACTGGTCAAGTTACCATATCAGATTCTGATCAGGTATGTAACCCTATAATTTTTGGATTTTTCACTAGGGTACTCCAACGGTACCGAAGAGATAAAAATTTTGAATGAAAATCGCTTCAATATTAAGGATTTGATTCAATACAGCCATTCCCTTCAATTAACCTCCAAATTGTCATTTTATTCAAAGTGTGACGACTCTGCGCTCTGAAAACAACAATCTCATCATTGTTAAGCCATCAAAATAGATAAAAATGAATATGAAGGTGAGGAAATGTCTACCGAGCATTGAGAAATAACATACCGCAATGTGCGTTGTGCACGATAAAACGACGGAGTGAAATTTTATGATCTCCCTTTATCGTGCAGTTATTGACTCGAGGAACACTTTTACGGGGAAAGTATGATTTTACGATACCGCCCTCCTATTAGCCATTGCGCTCGTCTTTCCATTATTCCTATAAAGAACCGTCTTTCCTCTCCACTGTCACCCTTCTTCGTACTCTCGCCCTGTCATAATCTTGGGATATTTTTTCCTCTTTTTTCATTTTATTCGACAATGGAATGACCCTCTCACAATAAATTGGTCGATCCATGAGTATGTTCTAAAAGATTTTCGTGGGATTGTTATTCCGAGGGGGATTTTGTGGTCAAATTCTCAGGGGTTTCGTATCAATAGTCGGTTCAATTACATATTTCATGTTTGTTCTGATTTTCAATTATACAGAATGAAAATATACAACTTTTTCATAACACCCGATGTATTCATGGGAAGTACACTCGTACTTTATCACCGACAGCATTTTCTTGATAAAATTACCTATGACACTCAATGGATTCTCTTCATTTTTTGACATATTTGATGTTTTGCATTAAGATATTGTCTATGACAATGCAGTGAATGTGAACAATCGGGTACAATTTCACTTCCATTCGTCCCCGCGTGCTTCAGATGAGTTCAAGTTAAAAAAACATTACCGGTGTGGGAAATTGCATTGTACAGCACTGTTTAAAACTTACTCCTTAAATTTCGAGTAAAAAATCTTTAAATTTTTAACAATCACTCACTTGGACGAAATTGTCATGTATTCTGTCTGTTACATACTTGAATTTTAAAGAAATTAAAAAATAACTTTCATTGATATATTTACCGAAAGAGACTCGGATGTGTCGCGATTCTTAGAAAAAAGATAAAGGATATTTACTCCAAATTTCAGATTAACAATAATTACATTTCAATTTTTAGATATTTTAACGCAGAAAACACAAAACAATATTATTTTTATGTTGAGAAATTCTCCGGAGAAGAAATCCTCATCTCCTTTGTCCGTGGTACTTTCGCCAGGAGAAAATATTACAAGAGGTACGGTCAAGAATTTTGGGTTTTTCTCTCCCTCGAAATAATCTTACAGCGTGTACTCTCATAGAACATACCTTTCGGTCACCGTCCCCTACAATAAAACGATTTCCTGAAAATTTGGTCCCTCACTTTACAACTTACTCCTTTGCAGCCGGGGCAATAAAAACAATTTCTCGAAAATTCTTCTTCCTCTACAATTTTACGACTTAATCCGTTGCAGTCCGAAAATTCGTCCTTTTTTTTGGGTCATTTTAACCGTTGAAAATTCCCCAAAATACCTGGGAGAGGAAAGAGACCCCTCTCCAAATTTCG